TTTCAGCGCGATAGAATGTTATTTTCAGTTTTTAAGATGTTTTTTAAAACATCCTTAAACGTTACTGTTGTCAGTGTTGCAATGTCACATGTAATTTTTTTGTTAACACATTTTTGGGTTTTACACACGTTTTTTCTGTAGCTTAAAATTAAATAAACATTTTGGAATTTTTTTTTTAATTTAACATTTTATTAAGTTTCATTATTCAATTTTTAAAAAAAATTATGCGTGTTTTTCTTTTTTTTAATTTGATCTTGCCAAGCCAGTTTTAATTAAAAAAAAATGTTAATTTGCAAAATTAAATATCAGTCAGTATCATTATGAAGAGAAATGGGACTTCAGATATTATGCAAGTATACATTGTAACATTTTACACATTATTACAAATTATCTTTATTAAACAATGAAACATCTTTACTTTGCCTATGCATTTTTTGTTCGTACATAATTTTAGCTAGAATATATAAAGAAGCATCTCTGCATTGATAATTTTCAATTTTCATTCTCTACCTTTGTACAAATTAGTACAGTGTATGCACTTCTGTTTTAGTTGTTTTATTTTAACTGGGAATTTTCTAAATTATTTTTTTTATTTTATTAATTTATTTTAAAATACACATACGACATGTATTTGTCTTTCATTTTAATTTTATAAACTAAATTTGTTGGGGTTTGAATCGTTTTTTCTGTCAACACCGACCTTAAATTCTTCTGCATTTTTAACACCTGTTGGTTTCTGAAGTTTTGAAAAAATCGTTCTTAAGTCTTCTTACTTAATTGACAAATTTCTGACGACGAATGTCCTTGGTTTGTGGAAATTATAACAATAGTAAATCGATAAAAATAAAGAAGACATTGATTGACAACTAGAAAAAGAAGAAATTATTAGCACGTAAAAGAAAAGAGGATTATCTTGAGTTAATAGAAAAGTTGACTTGTGAAGCGATTAAATTCTTTCTTTCAAAAACATTAAGCAACTATTTGCACACGCAACTTAATTTTCAGTCATTTTTTTTTCTTAATTAAAATGTTAAAAATAAGCAATAAAAATGAGGAAGCAGACGTTCCAAGATAATTCTTTTCTTTCTGTAGTCTTTGATATTAAATTAGTTACGCCCCCAAAAAAACAAAGATAAAACCACAATTTAATTTAATGACGTTTTATTAGAGTTGCTCACCAAAAAGAAAGTGAAAACATTCATGAAAGAAGAAAAAGATACATCTTATTTTTATTTGTTTCTTAGTCTTTTTTACTTATGGTGGAGGCGTTTTTATTTTGTTAATAAAGAATTGGGTAAACTAAACTGTTAAAATTTTATGCTGAGAAACGAAAGAAAAATAATTCACAAGGAAAAGTCAAAACAAAAAAAATGGACAACTCAAAATTCTTCAATAATGTGGTTATGAAACTTGACATTTGACAGTGATCAAGTATTTGTTTTGTTTGACTTTTACATTTTTTTCCCTTCGTATATCTCTTTTTTTTTTTAAGTTATGATCATAAAAAACTTTTTAATGACTACCTATGCTATGATTATCAAGTCTATCGATTATAAATCCATGCATATAGTTATCAATTTTTGTCAATGCATGGCTCTGTCACAGAAAGTAGTACATTGATTGGGAATTGGAAAGCGATGTCATTTAGTTTTAGCTTCTTTGTACATTCAATGTGTTGTATCATGATTTCTTTTTAAAATGTACAAAACCAAGAGTTCTTGTATAGATCTTGTGCAAAAAAATGTCATGTCGTGTGTTGACCATATTCCCACATGGCTGTTTTGGCTAAAGACATTTTTCCCATAGCATTATTGATAAATTTATAAAACTATACCTTGTCCTTGTGTCTACTCTTGGTGAATAAATCTTAGAATGATAGAAAATGAAAATTGAAGTATTGGCTAAGATAAGTTTTATTTTTTAGGCTATTTGAAAACTGAAAGTAATTGGTTTAACAAAAAAAAAAAAAATATATAAAGATACTGACCTGCTGCATTATCTTTTTTTTTTTTTTTTTTTAAGCTGGCGTATTAAACACTGAATGTGAACACATCTGACCAAATTAATTGATAAATTATTAACAGTAATACTAGCCATTATTAAACCCACATTACCATCATATAAATGAGCTTAGAAAAAAAAAGCAGAAATATTGTTTGTATAAATTCTAAAATTGCTAAAAATATTGTGTCCACAATCAAAAATATCAAAATGTGTTCAGTCACAGTGTAAAAATGTGTAAAAACTAAAAAGTCTTTCTTTTCTAACTGTTAACTAACAGTACTGGTTGATTGAACTCGGTTAGTGTTGTGTTGTGTTTTTTTTTTTTTTTTTTTTTTTTTTTTAATCATTTCATCCTAAGTCACTAAGATACAAGGGGTTACTGAATGTAAAAGAAAAAAGAGCAAGAACAATAAGAGAGGAATTAAGAAGACAAAAGATGACAATTGACATTTCATTTAAAATTTGTAATACATAGAAAATAGAGACAGTAGTTAGATCCCTATTTTTGTTCTTTTTATCATTTTTTTTTCTTAACTAAAAATGATAAAATTTGTTATTTTACTTGATTTATTATTACTGAATTATAGAAAACTCTCAAAGTGCACTTTTTATTTCTGTCTGAATTTCTGGGATGAGTGGTTATCATTATTTACACTATTTAAATTCAAACTATTGTCTTCAACTTTGTTGTTGTTATGACATTGTTTCAGCTGTTGTGCCCTCTGGCCTTCATCAGGTGTATATCAATCTGTGTAACTTACAGGGAATTCTTAACTGAACCCTTTATTTAATCTACAGGAGTAGACAGTTCTTGTTCCACTGCCTATGTCTAGGGATATCATCTAGTTCTTATTTTTAGTACTGCACAATTATTGCTTATCCATTTCCACTGAGTCCGAGTACACACTGGGATTGGACTTACAATTGTTGTCACCAAATTTATGAACTAATGCTTTAATTAATCTATAATTAAATAATGATAATACCTCATCCCAGAAATTCAAACAGAAATTATAGAAATAATTTGTCATAATTTTATTTACACATCTCTGAAATTTGAATTTTAAGCTTAATTTGAGTTTTTAAATTTAAACAAAAAATGTTGGTTTAATTTCATAGCATTTATGAAAAATAACTTTGATAAAGTAAATTTCTTTGGCTTGTCATCTCATTTTATTGCTTTTTCTTAGTTAAACAGGCAAAGACTAGATTAGTCTGAGGTAACTTTCTGATGTTAAATAATGTTTTATAATTGTTTAATTACACAGTAAATTGGGTCTCAACATAGTCATTTTTTTTTTGTCATATTTAAAGATCTAACACTGACTATTAAGGAGAGGATCAGTCTGTTCAGGTTTGATGTATACCAATCAAAGAACTAGGAAGTAAAATTGGTTGATAGATAAATAATTACCTTAATGAATTTGTATTTAGTTAATTATTTTACAACTATTATAGCTGAAGACTTTAATAAGTGTCATATGGTGAAGATAAAAATTAGCATATTAAGCCATTGTACTAAATATACTAAACACTCTTTTTTTTTTTTTTTTTTTTTTTTTCTTAATGTGACAAATATTCTTTACTGTAGTTTATTAGAATAAAGCTTGCTATTGAAGCACTTTAAGTAAAACCTTTAATTAACTGATGGCCAATATACTGCTATATCACTAAATACAACTCATAAGGGTGATTCTTTATAACACTTGTTTAATATGACTGATTTTGTTAGCAAACCTGGTCATTATATAAAACAGTTTAAATGATATTATTTGTCTTGTTTGACTTGAATCCTGACCACAAATAGAATAAACAGCAATTTTTATAAAAGTTCAATTGTACAAAGATCTGAATAGAAATTTTTTTTTTGTTTGCACTATTGATTTGAGCCTGGATCAATTTGACCCACTTGGGTTCTGCTTGGCAGACATGGCTCCGTTTTTGTTGCACAATAATTTTTTATATTTTCTTTTTTTATATCAAGAATATTTTTGTTATATATTCATTTTATTAAATATAAACATAGTAAATTTTTGATAGATTTTATATTTTGGCAATTTCTTAAAATTTTCATCAAAATTCAAACATTTTTATAAATTTGCATTAAATGAAAGTTTAAATGTGAGTAATTTATAATAAGTAATAATAAACTGAACCCTTTATTTAATCTATAAGGGTAGATTGTTCTTCTGTTCATGTCTAGTAATATTTCCCCTTGTTCTCTTTTTTTAGTACTGCTTAGTTATTGCTAGCCCTGTTTCCAACAAGTTTTATGTTATTAGAATATTAACAAAGTACAGTAGCAAATTGTTGTATTTTGTGTTTGCATCTGCTGAGATACTTTTTATTATTTTTTTCTCAAACCTTTAGAAACAACTGTTCTAGTTTTTCTTTGAATTATTATTCATTTTAATTTCAAGTAAAATGTTTAGTTTATCTTGTATTTATTTTTAATGGTGAAATGAACTGTTTCTATTAAGGAAACATTTAGCATTCAGTGAAAAGTGTTACTGTTGAAGTTTACAAAATTTTTTTCAGGAAATTAGACTTCTCAAGTCCATTAACTATTCTAGCTGTTTTTAGTATTGATAGGAGTTTCCTTTTAAACCTTTTGATTTTGGTAGTGTGGAAATTAAATGCCTTGATTATGTTATTTTCTCTTCTAGTTACATGTTTGTTGTTGCTACTGTTGGAAATCTTCAGGTGATATGGATTTTATTATTTGACAAAGATCTTTGCTATTGATTTTGTAGTGCCAGTCTGTAGGGTTTCATGTAGGATCATCAAAATTTAAAGGAATTATTCATTCGAATCCATTCTTAATCATTGATTTGAAGGAAAGGAATAAGATCTCTGATTGAAAATCTTTTTCAATGTAGATGAATGTAAGATTTTGAACTTCTGCATAAAGCCATTGATATGAGATGATTTTATTTTTTTAAGTTTTTGTAATAACATACTCAGTTTTCATTCAATGTCTTCAATTGAAACTGGCTTACAATCACATCACGCTGAAAACACCAGTTCCCATATGATCAACAAAGTTAAGCAACTTTGAGCCTAGTCAGTACCTAGAAGGGTGACTGCTTGGATTTGAAGGTAGTTTAATGGATAATGCTTCAGAATTGTTAATTGAAGAGCTGTCCCAATTCCCATTGAGTTTGTTATATTCACTTATGCTCTAATACCCTTGGGAAAGGTATGAGTCCACCTCTTCTCTTCCCAGCTATGGGTTAATTAGTAAGACTTGCATCACTAAACCATTATTATCTCAAAAATATTCTTACAACCTGAAAATATTTTCTGGCTTTAAATAACCTGAAAAGAGTTGATAAATGACTGAATCAGTCAGTTGAAACTCTGTTTATCCCAATAGAGGCTGATGGATTCTACTGCTCTGAGTAAAGTATTATAGATGTTCAGCTTAGTCTGGTACAAGGCTACACTACCAGTGCACGCAATGAGGATCAAATTCATTACACTAGCAATTTAGTCAACTAAATCTTGCTAACCATCTTTTAATCATTTCTCCTCAAGCAAGGTGATAGATAATGCCTCTAAAGCACAAGGGGTTACTGAAAGTGAAAGAGAAAAAGAGTTTAGAATGAACCAGTAACAAAATCCTAATAGGGAAAAACCAGGGATAAACCTCTATTCCTGTTTAATAAATGGGGAAGGAGTATGAACTAGGCAATAGGTGAAGCGATCTACTCCTTTAGGTATGGTGCAAAGCTAGAGTACTGAGTCACCCATGAGGATCAAACACCTGCTTGCTAATTGTTTATTAGACTTGTCGGTGCACCTATCTTAGAATGATAATTCAAAATCAGTGGTATTAATATTTGTAATAAAATAATATTCGTCTTTATTCTTATTATCAGTACTATTTTGTAATTGTTTCTGGTGACATTAAGAGCTATCTAAACTTATCTAAAGACTAAAAATATGGTAAATTTTAACATCCCCGTACTGAAGGATGATAAATTTTTTTATTAAACCACATAAACATGTTAAATTTCAGTATTTGGGAATGAAAATTTTTTATTTCAACATTCTAGTTACTTCCATGAATTTTTGACAAAAAAGAATCTGTGATGAAACATGTACAAAGCTTGTATATAAATTTATTATCACAACTTTTGTGATTGGTAAAGAAAAGGATTAGAAGAAAAATTTTGATGTAAAAAAAACCCAAAAACAATAAATAAAAAAATATTTGTATCCACAATATAGAATTAAAGATATTTGGTTTGAAAAGTTGTTTAAACTGTATAAAACAGTGTTGTGTAATAATTTGCATGAGAAAATTTTCAGGCAAAAATAGTTTATAAATCTATCACAAATCAGCTAATTATCTGACTTCATAAACTTTTTTCCATACGTATGTATTTGAGTGAATTTATGAATGAATTTATAAAAATGTACTTTATAAGAAGAGTTTGTGGAAATAGTTTTATTTAATTAATCAAAGCTCTTATTTAATTTTAGGAAGTCCCCACAAAATGCCTTATCAAAATTAAATAAAAAAACAAGATAAGTTATTGCAATATGTTTAACAATTTAAATGAAAAGTATAGAGATACCTATTAAAAGCTGTCGTGGCAGTGGAAGATGCAAACATTTACTGACACCCCTAATTTCTGATCTTTTACCTTAAAATGGTGGGAAAATTAACAAAATAAATAGAATAAAATAAAATTGGAAGATAGATAGGTGATACAGAGAGTGATTTAAATTTTCCCTTTATTCCCAACTAATCTATCCATCAGAAATTCTTATGAAAACTGTCAATTATTGGATGAGCGTCAAATGAATGTTAATAAACACAGGAATATTAATCTTAGAGGACGGTTAGTGTATTTCCTGATGTTGGTTGTTGATATCAATAGACATTTTATTTGGTGAGTGCAATATTGTTATGGTTTTGATAATGAAAAGTGGGTAAATGTTATATTAAAACTGTTATAAAAAGAATACCACTAATTCTTAACTAGATACAATAGCATATTTTATTTATTGTTGCTAAACTTTACTATTCACACTTGCCAACATAACCATGATGTGCAAAACTACAACAATCTGACTGATTTATATTTTGGTGTAATCAACTCTATAATCAAGCAGTAAAATTATCCACACAGCAGTCACCTCAGTAATTTTTTTTCTCTTCACAACAAAATGTAGTCACTGATTTACATCTAAACAGTGTCTGGTAGAGAACATTCTATCCTGCAACAAATGATTATGCATTGATTTGTCTTTTATCATTCATAAAAAAGCAAACATACATATCAACAAACTAACTATGGATGTTCTTTTTATCGTATTTTATGGAAGGTATAACAATGTTGACTATACATCACAAGTTTTAACATGTAAGCCAATTTCTATACATCTCATTTTAAGTTCATAAACTTATATTTTTTTCTGCTTTTCCTTGGTCTCAACACAACCTATATTTAAAAAATATCAAGTAATCTCAGTCTTTTAATTACATAGTTTTTTTGTTTTTTTTAATAACCAAATCCTGGATCTGGAAGGGCAATGAGAGAGGGGGATACAAAAGTCATTCATTTATGAATTTTTTTTAATCTATTCTCCTGAATCTGCAAATTTTAAATATCAAGATTTAATAAACAATTTTTTTTAAAAGAATGTAATTAATGATGACAATTGTAGTAATAGTATCTTTTCATATCATAATCATAGTTTTCAATTGTCAGAAATAAAACTTCCTACTGAACATTACATAGAAGGATTATATTTCCTGAAAATATCTGTGGTACTTAATTTTGTTATTGCCAACTTTTTAGTTTCTTGTTTTTTGTAACAAAAAATACAAGTCAAGTAGCATGTGGGGTATTTTAGGAAAATATCAAGCCATTTAATATTAATTAGTATAGTACCATTACAGAAAAAATGATTGATTTATTTACATGGGGATCATAACTTCTGTTTAGGATGAGAGCATCTGTGTAATCTACATAAATTTAAAGAATTGCTTTTTTGCACTTCTATGTAGGATAAATGTATTACACACACACACATGTTAGGAAAATTAATGTCAGTAGGAAAAAAATTGTGTCACACTTTGACTTTTAGGGCTTCATCAAACTAAATTGATGCTTCTGCTGATATAATTATACTTGCACATGAAGAGGAGGAGAGATATAAAAATAAATATAAAATTTTGCTTATAAGTATGCATAGATAGGAAACTCTGAAAATGTGATACTGAAATTATAATTTTTTTATCAAGCTCTTAGATGTGTCTGGGTATGTAGTCTAGCCAATTTCATTCAATTTCTTATTTTTATTTATGATTTTATCACTTTACTAATGTAGTATCATATGCAAATTAGATAGACAAATATAAATAGAGAAGAACTGGTGAACACAGGGGCTATGCTAGCAAACCCATTTGCTAAACATGATGCGGAGAACTGTGCTGCGACTGCTACTACACAGATATACCAAACATAACAATGTCATCGGCGATTAGGATCCTTAAATTTGCTGGAAGACCCAGAATACATAGAAACATGGATAAAAACTTTTGCTGCATTTGCAAGAGTGAAAACGTAAGAGACACAAAGACCGATGGAGAAGAGAACAAGATAACTGATTTATTTCTTGCTACTGCTGGGGGTGAAGCTGAAAAGAAAATTTCAACAGCGTGTTACCTGATCGAATTAGAAGAAATGACATTTAAAGCAATTATTAAAATGATAAAAAAGAACATGACCAAAGAAAAAATTGGTCATTGCTGAAAGAACCAAGTTTTTAGAGACAAGACAGGCATCCTGTGAGTCCATTATACAATACTTATATAGATTGAAAGAACGAGCCAAGTATTGTGAATTTGAATGTTTGGGAGCTCAGGATATGACTATAGAAGACAAATTAATCCTTCTCAGAATAATTGAAGGTTTGCATGACCAAAACCACAAGCAAAAATACTGGAATGTATACAGAGTAATAACACGTGTTTGGAAGCTATCGTTGAGTTTTTACAACAATTAGTTGATTAGAGAATTTAATCAACCAAAAGAAGAATATGAGATGATTTTGACAGGAGGAGCACAACCAAATCCAAAATTAAATGTAGATATTGTCGAAAAAAATCATGAGAGAGAGAGGCAAGTACAAATGTTCAGCTCTAGGAAAAATATGCTGAAATTGCAAAAAAAAGAGATCATTTTCAGAATGTATGCAAATACGAAAAGAAAATAGAAAGAGTACAAACGGTACAAACCTCCTCCTCTGAAGAAGCTGAAATATTTATAATGAATACACTTAAAAAAGAAGTAGAGAAAAAATAACAATAAATGACCAAATATTTATCATGCAAGTTGATACAGGCAGTGAAGTCACGTTGATAACAAAAAAATTCTGGATAAAATTAGGATGACCTAAGTTAAAAAAAAAAAGAAGCAACACCCAATTAAAGCAATTTGATGGAATGACTATGAAAATAATGGGTATATTTCAAGGCAATTTTGAAACCGACAAGCGTTTTGAAGTAATTCCCATTACAGTTGTAGAATGTGAAAAAGATCACGGATTACTAGGAACTGATGTATTAAAAGTAGATACAGCAAGACTAATCAATTCTATGAAAGCAGAAGAAAATGAAATAGGATTATTGAAAGGCTATAAAACAAGCATTTGACTAAAAGAAAATTATCACCCAAAATATATAGTCAAGAAAATTTCCAATTCATATCCTACCTTTGGTAATAGCCAAATTAAACAAAATGATACAAAAAAGTTTACTAAAAAGAGTAACTCAGGGTGGTAGCAATTATGCGTCACCAATAGTAGCGATAAAGAAACCTAACAGAGATTTAAGGATTTGTGGTGATTACAAGATATGGGTAAATTACTAGAGATGTTCAGACTCTTTTCTGTTGCCAAATATTGAAACTGCAAGCCACAAGTTAGCAAGAATGGAACACTTACAAAAATTGATCTCAAGGCAGCATACAACCAAATAGAAATTGATGAGAAATTCAAGGAAATCACCATGATAAACATCCCTAAAAGGTTACTAAGATGGACTCATCTATAGTTTGGAGGAAAGACTTTGAGC